CCTCCACAGCAGGCACAGCTCGGCATCCTCCAACAGGGCAGCTTCGTGGTGAAAAGCTCTGGAGCACAGGAGAGACATGGAGCTCCTGGAGAGAGTCTGGAGGAGGCCACAGAGATGATGGGAGGGCTGGAGCAGCTCTGGAGCCAGGCTGGGAGAGTTGGGGTGTTCAGCCTGGAGAAGAGAAGGCTCCAGGGAGACCTTAGAGCAGCTTCCAGGGCCTGAAGGGGCTCCAGGAAAGCTGGGGAGGGGCTTGGGACAAGGGCAGGGAGGGAGAGGACAAGGGGGGATGGATGAAAAGTGGCAGAGGGAGGTTGAGGTTGGACATGAGGAGGGAATTGTGGAGTGTGAGGGTGGTGAGAGCCTGGCCCAGGTTGCCCAGGGAAGCTGTGGCTGCCCCATCCCTGGCAGTGTTGAAGGGCAGGTTGGATGGGGCTTGGAGCAGCCTGGGCTGGTGGGAGGTGTCCCTGCCCATGCAGGGGGTTGGATCCAGGCGATCATTTACGGTCCCTTCACACACAAACCATTCCATGATTCTATGATTCTATGGAAAGTGATTCTGTCCCCACAGAGTGAAAAGTTAGTTTGTATATTCTGGTCTTTGCAGGAAGGGATGAACTTTCCCCTCCCTCAGCCGCCTGTTCGGGCTCAGGGGCAGAGACCAGACCAAAGACAAGCCTGGCACTTCCTTTCTCTAACAGCTAAAAACTGTCATCCAAAAGGGCTCTTGTTGTGGGTTGTTTCAGCCCCAGCTCATGTTGACAAACACACCTATCGGGTACAGAAACATATTTTCCTACTCACAACCCAAATTAAGAAAGTAACTGGGCAGCTCTTCAACCTACTGGTGCTCACCCTGGCACAGGAAAAGCCTCCCAGGGTTTGCAGCCTGTTTTCAGACACCCACACTCTGCTTTCAAATGTCCACTCAGACAGTTGAAGGGCACCACAAACTGATGTTAAAAAGAAACAAAGCCTTGCTTTAAACTCAAGGCCAGGAACCATGTTCCCATGACACAGGGTTGGCTTTGAAAGCGGCACCCAAGAGTTCCCAGTTGCTGAACTAGGAGTGATTTGCTAAAAATCAAATATCAGTGAGAACAGTTCAAGAGCTCCAGCAGTGTGAGGAGCAGGGCAGTGGTAACTTGGGGTGCATCAGGAGTGTTTCCAGCAGGTCAGGGAGGTTCTCATCCCCCTCTACTCAGCCCTGGTGAGACCTCACTTGGAGTGTTGTGCCCAGTTCTGGGCTCCCCAGTTCCAAAGGGACAGGGATCTACTGGGGAGAGTCCAAGGGAGGCCATGAGGATGATGAAGGGGCTGGAACACCTGCCTGAGGAGAAAAGGCTGAGAGACCTGGGGCTGTTCAGTCTGGAGAGGAGACTGAGGGGGGATCTAATGAATGTCTCTCAATACATGAGGGCAGCAAGAAGGCAGGGACAAGCTCTTGTCACTTGTGCCCTGGGACAGGACGAGGGGCAATGGATTCAAACTGGAGCCCAGGAAGTTCCAGCTCAACATGAGGAAGAGCTTCTTTGGTGTGAGGGTGACAGAGCCCTGGGACAGGCTGCCCAGAGAGGCTGTGGAGTCTCCTTCTCTGGAGACTTTCCAGCCCTGTCTGGATGCCTTTCTGAGTGACCTGCCCTGGTTTTGGTCCTGCTGTGGCAGGGGGGTTGGACTGGATGATCTTCAGAGGTCCCTTCCAACCCCTGACATGCTGTGATCCTGTGAGTGAGGAGCAACTGCAACAACTCCCTGGGGACAAACCAAAGGCTCATCAAACCCAGCAGACCCTGGGTGCTGCCTGAGGAACCTGGGCAGGAAGAGAGACAAGCACCTGGCAGGCCTGAGGACACACATTCCAACGAGCTGAAGACACAACCCAAACCAGGAGTCTGAGTCTACAGAACTTGTAGACTAAGAAGGTAACACAAAAGCCCCCAAACATCATTGATTTGGTTTATTTTGCACATCAGGTTTATAATTTACTCCCATTAAGACAAGATCTGCTGTGAGTGTGATTGGAGGGAGGGTGCTAGGCAGGTTGGCCAGTGAAGTTCACAACTAAGTGGTCACAGCTGCTCATGGGGATGGGAAGGTCCCCACAACCTGCTACAGAAGCTGAGCTGGGCATCCCAAGGTCACCTCCAAGCAGGGTCCTCGTGGACAGATGGCTCCAAACACTCCACCCAGCAATAAATCTCCTACGACAAAGACAGAGCAGCCAGTCAGCAGAGCTCCCTGCAGTGCTCCAGCTGCCAGCACCACTGCTGGGTCTCCAAAGCCTCCAGCAACCAGGCAGGAGGTCTGTCCCAGCAGCCACAACAGGCTCAGCACAAGGCCTAGAGCCTCCCTGGAAGGAGGCACAGGCCCCACAGAACCATCTTCTTTCTCTCTTCTTGGAGAGGAATTTGCTCTTCCCAGCTGATTTGTGCAGAATGACACATCAAAGCTGTTATTTCAAACCAAAGGAACATCTGCTGTGGCCTCAAGAACATTACCATGTTCCCACCACTGGCTAAGACAATTTTCAAGCACAGAAAGCCCTCAGGAGGTCATGTCACTGCCTCTGTGACCCGAGAGCTTTTGCTCTGTCTTGTCCCACCCATGCTCACCTGAGATGCTTTAAGTGCAGCTGACTTCCTCAGCTTGGTTCTTGGATTTCATGAGTTCAAATTGCAAAACACAGGGTTTGGGACCAATGTGGAGGGGCAGATGGACCAGAGCTCTGTGCTACCTGTAACTGCTGGGGGCAGGGGAGGGGGTGATCTCTGGTGACCAGTGGGAGGACACAAGGGGTGGGTGCAACCCCGGGCACAAATCCACAAGGAATGGAAGGCAGCTGGGCCAGGGGCAGTTCAGATTTCACATTAGCAGAAGGTTCTTCCCTGTGAGAGGCTGGTGGGTCCCAGGAACAGACTCCCAAGGGAGGCAGTCACACATCAAGCTGTCCGAGCTCCAGGAGCATCTGGATGATGCTCTTGGTCACTTGGTTTAGTTCAGGGTGTCTTGTGAGGAGCAGGGAGCTGGACTGGATCATCCCTATGGATCTCTTCCAACCTGAGAGATCCTGTGATTTTGGTTTTTTCATCCTTTGGTTACCCCAAGGATCTGGTTGGACATATTTTGAAAACAGGGAAGACAGTAAATTATGTAAATTGCAAAAATATCCCTCGAAAAAACAGACTTAGAAAAGTGACTTCCAGACTCACTGAGTTCCCCACAAAATAGTGTGTGGCTTGAAGACAAGATTCTTCTTTTCATTTTCATGAGACCTGGAACTAGTGGAGACCCTCAGGGATCAGAGCTGGGTCCAGTCCTGTTCAACATCTTTATCAATGACCTTGATGATGGGACAGTGTCTTCTCAGCAGGTTTGCTGATGACACGAAGCTGGGAGGACTGGCTGATCCACGTGAAGGCTGGGCAGCCATGCAGGGAGATCTGGCCAGGCTGGAGAGCTGGGCAAAGAGGAACCTCATGAGGTTCAACAAGAGCAAGGGCAGAGTCCTGCCCCTGGGGAGGAAGAACAAAATGCACCAGTTCAGGCCACGAGGTGACCTGCTAGAGAGCAGCTCTGTGCAGAAGGACCTTGGAGTCCTGGTGGACAACATGTTATCCATGTGGCTTGTGGCCAAGAAGGCCAATGGTATCTTGGGGTGCACCAGGAGTGTGTCCAGCAGGTCAGGGAGGTTCTCATCCCCCTCTACTCAGCCCTGGTGAGACCTCACTTGGAGTGTTGTGCCCAGTTCTGGGCTCCCCAGTTCCAGAGGGACAGGGATCTACTGGAGAGAGTCCAAGGGAGGCCACGAGGATGATGAAGGGGCTGGAACACCTGCCTGAGGAGGAAAGGCTGAGAGACCTGGGGCTGTTCAGGCTGGACAGGAGAAGCCTGAGGGGGGATCTAATGAATGTCTCTCAATCCATGAGGGCAGCAAGAAGGCAGGGACAAGCTCTTGTCACTTGTGCCCTGGGACAGGACGAGGGGCAATGGATTCAAACTGGAGCCCAGGAAGTTCCAGCTCAACATGAGGAAGAGCTTCTTTGGTGTGAGGGTGACAGAGCCCTGGGACAGGCTGCCCAGAGAGGCTGTGGAGTCTCCTTCTCTGGAGACTTTCCAGCCCTGTCTGGATGCCTTTCTGAGTGACCTGCCCTGGTTTTGGTCCTGCTGTGGCAGGGGAGTTGGACTGGATGATCTTCAGAGGGCCCTTCCAACCCCTGACATGCTGTGATCCTGTGATGTAGCAACGTTTAAATGTAACTTATCCTGGTCAGAGCATGGAGCTGTGCAGAGCTTCCTGCAAGTGTCCATGGCTGCCTCTGGACCTTCTGCCATCAGCAGCATTTCGTGCAAGGCAAAAATCATCCCAACTCCCTTCTACTTGCAGGAAAGAATCCAAAAGTTTTCTGTCTAATACATAAATATGGACTTAGAGGCCCCAGAGAAGTGTCAAACTGCTCCTCTAGCTTTAGGGATGGTCAGTCTTAGAGAGGACTCAGCACATTTCATGGAGATTTTAAAGGGAAATGAATGAATTTTCAAGGAAAAAGATACTCAAGAAAGCAAATCTTCCCATTATTTTGTGGTCCACAGGAACCAGCTCTGAACATTCAACTACCCTTTAATAATAGTTAGGAATAGAAACAAGTTGGGATTTGCCCAGCACCAAAACCAGTCATGAGCTTGGAGCCATTCCCCTGGGATCAGGAGCACTCAGACCTGCCAGAAGTCCCAGATCACCACAGGTTGGTTGGACTTCTCCAGAACCAAAGCACCTTGTGAAAATTCCACTGCTTTCAAAATCATCCCTTGAAAAACCACCTTCTGAAGACCCCACCCCTCTGGGAAACCTGATATTGAAAATAATAAATCTCTGAACAATGAAACTGGAAAAGTTCTGGGTTTGGACCAACATTGTGGTTGTAGCCTGGTCCAACAGGCCCCATCAACTGTCACATCAACCCAATCCTGAAATGCACAAACAGAACTTACCATCAGAGGGAAGTTTACTCTTCAGTTTTATACTTGCCACCAATGTAGGGAACATACTGAAGGACCAGCTTCCAGTCAGTGACCCAGATCAAACCAGTCCCAGCTACACCACCCCAGGTCACTAGGGTGGGAGTCCTAAAGGAGAGACACACACACACACACATGCACAAGTTTGGCAGAGAAAAGAATCTCATCTACACAGAAAAGTGTCTGTCTCCAGGGTGGTGGAGACACTTCACAAAAAAGGGTCATCACAGCATTAATCACGGAATGGGTTGGGTTGGAAGGGACCTTAAAGACCATCCAGTCCCAACCCCTGCATGGGCAGGGACACCTCCCACCAGCCCAGGCTGCTCCAAGCCCCATCCAACCTGCCCTTCAACACTGCCAGGGATGGGGCAGCCACAGCTTCCCTGGGCAACCTGGGCCAGGCTCTCACCACCCTCACACTCCACAATCCCCTCCTCATGTCTCACCTCAATCTCCCTCTCCCAGTTTTCATCCATCCCCCCTTGTCCTCTCCCTC